ACAATTCTGTGTAAAGCCCTTAACTCAGTGCCTGGCCCACGATAAGTAATCAATAAGTAGTAGCTGTTACCGTCTAAGATCATTCCCATCCTGTAGAGAAAATAGAGAACAAACAACTCATTAAAAGCTATGATTCTTTCAGAGCGTATTTACATGAAGAGGAGAAAGCATTTGCAGAGGATGACTTGGTGGACTGCCTTGAACCCAGATCAAAACTGCTAACATGAAAAGGATTCTGTGAAATAGAACTCTTGGCAATGCCTTTGCTGCCCTTTTGACTACTTGCAATGGGATTAGTGACTTGCCTGGTTTCTCGGTCTTACTGATTACTCTGTGTGTGTGTGTGTGTGTGTGTGTGTGTGTGCACGCCCCGATCCCAAAACACTCCTGCATGGCAACTCAGCGACCCCAGTCCTTGTCAGGATGCTGGGGAAGGCATAGGCTGACCAGCCAAGCAGAAATCCTACCCACACCCGACCGTCCCACTTCATGGAAGCCTGTTCTTAGATGAAGAAGGAGCCCTGCACTTTTCTGAGGGTGGAATCCCCCCTTAAAAAGGATTTCTAAGGGCTTAACGCCCTGGAGTTCCAGGAAAGAAGGGAAATGACTCCATATCACTAGCTGGGAAAGTGGGCCAGCGTAGGGAGCGGGCACTAGTCACTCTGACCACGTTGCTTATCAACAGCAATCCAGGGAAGACGGTCAGCATTTTGATTCTCTTCAGGGCGCCCAGAATCGCTTCCCCAGGCTGAACTTCTCTCTGTAGTCCCCGAGAAGGGTAGCCTCCATGTGCCTGGGCCAGGCACAGGGGTGTCCTGCAGAAGGCTGGGCTGCCAGAGGAGCTTATCTTCAGTGTGTCCACTGCAGTCTCGGGCAAAACCCTAGAAGCCGCAGCAGAATGGAGGCGGGGAGGGGCCTGAGGTCGTGAAGGAATTTGCAGTCAAGCCCGTGAGTCTGGGAAAGAGCCCTGCTAACCTTCCTCAAACATGCAGGGCCTGTCCCACGGAGGAGGTCGTGGACTTGGGTTGGGGCCACTGGGCGAAGGGCAGGGAGCCAGAGACCGTGTCACCATGAGGACACCCAGAGGGCCACGAGCTCCTCGTCTGCAGAGGCACAAAGGCACAAAGCCTGTGGCCGCGCTCCACGTGGGCGGGAAGCTGGACGAGGTCACCACTAGGCCCCTTCTAGCCCCAACTCACCAGCCAGTGGATTCACACCTCTCAGGGCTGGACAGAAAACGTCCGCATCGCCCGGGGCCTGCGCTGACAGCCCAGGTTGTGAAGCCTTAGGACAGAAAAAAGAATGTGATCTCAGTTATTTTTCTACGTGGTGTTTTGGATGTGAGTGAAATAAAATATATTGAAATTTATTTCCGTATTCGCTGTTTTAGAGTTCAGCAGAGTTTTTAAGATATGAACTCAGTTTTCTTAGCCCTGGGGACTTTCATTTAAAGATGAGACCGTGAAAACTCAGTCCTAAAGGCGTCTGCTTTCCACAGGGTCATGCATTCACTAAGCATGTCTGGCATTTTGTCCTGCCTTCTGCCTTTTCTGAGAATATCAATAAGGCATAAACCTTATTCATCAAGGAAATTTATAAAATAAAGAATAGGAAACTTTTGTTAAGGACAAACGACCCCGTTAAGAATTTGATGTGGTCCTTGACAGGTGAATACCGGAAACCTACGTGCATCAAACATTTGGCGTGTGCGCAGGCCAGGTGTGGTGAAGTTGCAGTTTCTGTTGATGTGTAGGAGGGTTCCCGGTGCTCTAATCCCCACTAATTGCATCAGGTTCTCAGTTTCTTTAAATTTAAATAAATATGGTTTTCAAAAACTGGAAAGGCCTGAGGATGTGGGGAGGACAGGAATGATATTTTTCTCTGTCTCTGTTTCCTGCGAGAAAGTACTGTTGCTTCTTCAAAACAACATCTGTCAGAATGATTTTCATCAGATTAAATAAATCCTCAAAGCCGCTATCACAGTTTATAGAATCTTGGAAACGTAGGATATGCTTCGCGTGGAACCCTAATGGAATTTAAAATATGTGTGTTTTTGCAAACACAGCTTCGAGAGCAGACTCTTTACTGGGGTTTGTGAATTTAAGCTACCATGTCTCAAAGAGTTTAGAAAGTGTTTTTACTACATAAATGTAATAGACAATCGTTTACCAATTTGAGATGCTATTAATTGTAGATGGAAAAGGCATTGAGCCTGGGGCTCTTTGGCCAAGCCTGATGAAAGCCAGCATTGCACACTCTGACAAAGAGCTGTGTGAAAACAGATACCGCGCGTAAGTATGGCACGAGAGGCCAGGCTTCTGTCATCTTTTCACAGGCAGCTGCCATATGTCCTTATGGTCAATTATGGCCTTTTCAGTTTTTTAGAGGAGAGAGAACTTTGTTGCCGCGGGGCGGGGGGCGGGGGGGGGGGATTATGTCCTAAAGACCTTGAAGGATCAATACAGATTGATATTTATTATTCCTTGCTGCAAAAAGCTTACTCTTAAAATTAGTTGCTAAATTTAATCCCAGTGAGATACCACTTCACACCCATTAGAATGGCTACTACCCAAAAAAACCCCAGAAAATAATAAGCTGTGAGCGTGTGGAGAAACTGAACCCTGTGCATTGCTGGCGGGAATCTAAATGGGTGGAAATGCTGTGGAATGCCGTTTCTTGGTTCCTTTACAATATTAGAATCTAGAGCATGGTTCTCAAGCTTCAGATGCGAAACCCTTGGCCGTGAAATCCCTGGAGACAGCCTGTGGGTGATTTGGACCAGTCAAAGCAAGATTCCCTGGATTCCAAACAAATCCAAACGTACTACATCAGGGACTTAACACTTGAGCCAAACTTGTTCATCCCTGGCTGACTGTTGATTCCACAGCCAAATCATATCTGTAATAAAAGAAAAAAAAAAAACCCAACCCAGTTAACCACACCACAAAAGCCAAATAAAACAAAACCAACGTCATATAGGGAACATTTCTGTGCTGCTTAGTAAGACTTGAAGTTTCTTAGTCTCATGGAGTAACAGAAATTACTTGGGGGAATTTGGGGTGTTTTTGTTAAACTCTTTGGGATGTAAACAAGTGAACTTTCTGAATCCTGAGACTTTTGCCTGCAGCAAAAGAAAGCTAAAACAAGGACCCCTGCGGCAGGGTGGAACAGCAGAGCTGGTGGAAGGCGGGCTGGGCAAATCAGGGATGGATTCCGCTCTGCCTGCCCGCAAGACCAGCCTTAAGCAAAACTGGCCACTTCTGGGAGCATCTCACTTTCCCCACTGGCCGGCCTTGCATTCATCTACAGCTCCCGCGTCCCCCTACCTCTGACTGAGGCATTTCAGAGGTGTGCACACCTATGTACTACCTGGAACTGTGTTCTGATGCTTTTAAGCTACGACACATGCAGTTATTTTTTTAAAGGCATAGAAGAGTCTATAATACCATAGAAGTAAGCTCGCCAGATACTAAGTGCAGAAAGCAGACTACAGAACAAGGTGATTCTTTTGGTAAGAAAAATGGAAATTTAAGAAGAAAACAAGTGCATCTGTCTATCCATAGAAAGAAAGGCTGGAAGCACATCCCACGTGTTAACAGTGGTTATCTCCAGGTGGTAGAACTACAAGTGGTTTTAACGTGCTTGGCTTGTTGCTTTTCAACGATGAACATGTACTGCTTTGGTCCTATATTCCGTCCCCTCGGTATTGGTGACAGGGTGGGCCAGCTTAGTACCATGAAAGAGGTTAAGAAATGGCAAGAGCTTCACAAGGACCTTACTTTTTAAAAAAATTTATATTGGATTATAGTTGATTTACAATGTTGTGTTTGTTTCAGGTGTACAGCAAAGTGAATCAATTTTACATATACATATACCCACTCATTTTTAGATTCTTTTCCCATGTAGGTCATTACAGAGTATTGAGTAGAGTTCCCTGTGCTATATAGTAGGTCCTTATTAGTTATCTATTTTATATATAGTAGTGTGTATATGTCAATCCCAATCTCCCAATTTATCCCTAGCTCCCCTTACCTGCTTCTAACCATAAGTTATTTTCTACATCTGTGACTCTATTTCTATTTTGTAGATAAGTTCATTTGTACCCTTTTTTTAGATTCCACATATAAGTGAAATCATGTGATATTTGTCTTTCTCTGACTTCACTCAGTATGACAATCTCCAAGTCCCTCCATGCTGCTGCAAACGGCATTATTTCATTCTTTTTTATGGCTTAGTAATATTCCATTGTGTGTGTGTGTGTGTGTGTGTATATATATATATATATATATATATATATGGAGAAAACCATAATTCAAAAAGACACATGCACCCCAATGTTCACTGCAGTACTATTTACAATAGCCAGGACGTAGAGGCAACCTAAATGTCCATCAGTGGAGGATTGGATAAAGAAGATGTGGTACATATGTACAAAGGACCAAATGTTTTTAATACTTGGGGTCCTGTAGGGGCCAGGAGCTTTGCATCGGCTCTGGGATCTCACCCGTTAGAAGCTTCCGGAAGCCGTGGACTCTGCGAGGACTCTGAAAGGGTAGCCCCTCAGTCCATAGGACAGGAAGCTCCCTGGTTGGAGTCTCCCATTTATCCAGCATGACCCTGCTCCTGCCCTGCTCCGGGGAGCGCCCAGGTCCATATCTCTTGAGACCAAAACTACTGCGCTTGCCCACAGTTACAGTTTAAGGATTAACCAAAAACCGAAAGAGGGCTCTTTGGTGACGCGCCCGCTGTCTGCTATGATCGTTCTCCGCTCTGCCTGAGGTCAGCCTCCGCAGGAGGAGGACCCGCAAGTGTCCCAAGTGCAGCAGCCAGCGGGTCCATGTGATGAAATAACGGGAAGAGGTGTGCCTCCCGCTTCCCGCGCCCTCCCGAGGGTCCTTGTTTGTCACACGGCCCTGAAACCAGTCTCCACATTCGCGTCACCTGCGTGTGCCTCTGTTGTGAGTCGTGATGGTCAATGTGTTTTCCTTCTTGTCTTCCAGTCCACCCAGACCGACCGTGTTCATCTCCGGTGTTATCGCCCGGGTAAGAGCCCTTTCATCCCATCGGGGCCTCGGCCCGTGATGTCCTGATTCCTCCTGTCCTTATTCAACCCCACTTGTCCACCCAGGTCCGGAGGTCACTTAATCAATCGCCCCCTGTCCATAGAGCGTGCTTCTGCGCATCCGCCCGTCAGGGGCAGATGGGACGGTGGTGACGCGGAGCCTGAGCTGGTGCAGCTGCCTCTCCTCTGTCCTCGCCCGTCTCCGTTCTCTTTAGGCTCAACCAGGGTCGGCAAAGGGTTTCAGGGTGATCTGTGAGCTGAGACTCTTTTTACATTTTAAATGGTTGAAAATTTGAAATAAGAACTGTATGGCGTGACGTGAAAGGTACATGGACTTTAAATTCCTGTGTCCATGGATAAAGTTTTAGTGGCACACAGCCTTGCTGTTCATGGATGTGTATCATCTATGGTCCTCTCGTGCTGCACTGGCAGAGTGCAGAGAGTATGACCTGAAAAGCCTAAAATATTTACTATTTGGCCCGTTACAGAAGATAGTTGCTGCCCTCTGAACCAAACTGATGGGTTTGGGTCACTCTCTTTGCCTTTCAAGAGCCCCCTCTTCTTGTGAGACCTAACGGTTTTGTAACCGCAGACCTCCCCCCAGCAAGCCCCCATTTGGGGGACAGTGCACTAATTCCATCCATCGATCTGTGGCTCACAGCCCATTCGAGCCCTTAGCATATGATGTGTAAAGAAAATGCCACTGTTGGGGACGGCTCAGCACAGCCATCCAGGGACCTGGGACAGACGGAGGGCACATCTACCACATGCGAGGAAATTAAATGCCCACACAAATCTGAGGTCACCCCACAGCTCAGCCACCATGGCTCTGTCCTGCCCGGGGTGGGCTGGACCCCAGCCCCTGTCACAAATGCACAAGAAGGCAATTCCTGCCTGAAAAACAGCCGGGTACCTCCTCTGAGACTCGGCTGGTTGAACCTGGCTTATCTCACAGCTTCCAGCCCTGCCCTGTGTGTTTCCTTCCCAACGAGCGCTCCAGGCCCAGCTCGCAGCTGTGGCAGCAGATCTGAATTTAAGACCCTGGATTTGGTTCTGTCTTGCCCCTCAATTCAAAAAAAAATCACAAGAACTGTTCTAGCAGAAGAAAGCCATCCAACACCCAGCTTAGTTCTGAGTGAGTCGTACATACGGTACCTGGTCCCATGGCGTGGCGGCAGAGACAGCGAGCTTTTCACCTTCTGGAAGGGACACGGGCCTGGGTGCCTGCTTGGGCTCTCCAGAGAGCTTCAGGACCCCCAGCAGTCCCAGGAGACAGGCTGCTACCTGCCGACAGGTTCCCCACTCCATCACCCACCCGCCCCGTCCCCAGAGGGAAGCCAGAAGATGCTGGCTTTGCGTCTCGCTTCACGTACTCACTCAGCTGTTCACGGTTGATGAGCCAGTGCTTTCCGTGTCTCCCGCCAGGGCGACAAGGACTTCCCCCCGGCGGCTGCCCAGGTGGCCCACCAGAAGCCCCACGCCTCCATGGACAAGCACTCTTCCCCGAGGACACAGCACATCCAGCAGCCTCGCAAGTGATGGCGAGGACCCAGCGCCCTCACCAGCCGGGCCTCAGTTCCCCGACACTTGGTATTTCCCCAGCAAAGAGAACTGGTATTTTCTTCAAGACACTGCTCCATTGGGAAATTTAAGACAGAGCCAAGCGCCCCTTCCTTTGCCTTGAATTTCCATATCTAAAGCTAGAATCAGACCCCAAGGCTTGTTTCCAGGGAGTCCTGGCAGGTGTTTTCTGCGAATCACCGTGGCACTACAAGTGCCGTTAGCAGAACTTGCTAAGACTTGAGTGAAATGGAATCGTTCAGAGTTTAGCTTCAGTTCCGGTTTATCAATTGCCCTGGTCTTAGAAACAAGTGGGCACAAATTTGGGAGGGTTAGATCGGGTCAGGGGAAAACACAGTCATTTCATGCTTTTCGGTAAGAGGACAATAAAGTCTTAATACCTAGTGAGGAGAGAAAGAGATGAGAGCGTTAATCACAGAAAAACTGAGCAGGGGAGACTTTTGCAACAGGCAACAGCATCACTGCATTTCTCTCCTTTGTGTGATGAGGGATCGATCACAGCACAGGGCGACACCAAACACTCCCAGGAAAACCAGGGAAAAGCTTACAGCTTTGAAACGGCTCTTTCATTCCAGGGGTCATCTTGCTGAAAAATTTGCCCAGAGGGAATACTTCCAGAATGAGGTTTCTCAGTGTGGGTCCCAAGTCCTGCATTGCCCCGCCATCCAGACAGCCTTGCCGCGAAATCAAGGCAAACCTTCATTTTTTCAGTGATCACCTCTCGAGCTGCTCTTGAGCTCTGGGAGTGATCACTGACCAGGTGGAGGAGTAGATGTCTAGCTAATTCTGGAACACTAGAGCAAAAGCACTGACCACGTGGGAAGACGAGACGAGAACCTGCCCTTGGTCTCCCTAGGGCAGAGTAGAACTACCACGTGCCATTTGAGCTAGAAAAGCCTGTTTGTCCATCAGTCGAAGTGTCAGGAACTCCCTCTGCCCAAGGGCACACGTACCTGGGCCCGTGTTCATTTGGGCCTCTCAAGTTATCCTACGCTTTCTGCCCGGGTTTCCTACCCAGAGCTGCCTTAGACTGCTCGCTGGCTGATGGCTATTGGGTGCTCTGCTTTTCTGAAAAGCCAATGGGCTCGTTTACTCAGATGCTCAAATCTCCCGGAGCAGATGCTTTGGGAGAGGGTGCAGCCCAGCTGGCACGCTTGCCAGCGTGGTGTTTGCCGCGGGGTCAGCAGTGGGCACACCACAGCCTTTCTGATGCCCTTTCCAGCTCCACATCCGTGACTGGGAAAGGTGACACAGACCTAGCAGACCCAGCTCTCACCCTTCCCTAAGGAAAAAGCTGGCCCTGCTTCACACCTAAAGGCAACATTTGGTTTCCCATCTCACTGACTTGCGGCAGCCGGGGTCTCACCCTCAAGGCATCGTGTAGTCACCTCTCATACTTCTTAATCGCTGAGATGTTGCTAAAAACTGAGGCTGGCTTTTAGAGATGCAGACAGGGTGGGCAGCCTCCTCCCAGCCGTCTCCTGGAGCCGGCATCTCAGAAGGATGCTGAGAGCAGGCAGCACTAGGTCAGTCTGTGGACCACTGCACCCCCTGCTGCAGAAATGAAGACACACCCTTGATACTTTTTAGTGTGGCAGCCAGGACTGCCATGCTGTCTCCCAAGGTGCATTCTTGTCCTTTTAGCTACACCTGGCATGTATCTGTAGATCACTGAAAGCAAAATGTTCTTCTGAATGAGTTTATCAATGGTTAACCTCAAGAAGAAGAATGATTATAATAAAGCTCCTGCATTTCTTCTCATGGTTTGTTTTCTCTGACATCTCAGAGACTTTTCCTTCTCATTTTACTGGGGTTGCCAGATGGTTTGGTTTCAATAGAAATACGAACGTGCAAAAATGAGGGGTGTTTTCACAAACTGTTTCCCAGACACAAAGCCAAACTATTGGACAGCAGGCACCTTGAGTCTAATCGTCTACTTTAAAATGTCATAAAGTGGAAAAGCTTAATGCAGTGGATTAAAACGCATTCCTTGGGTTCAGCAGCTGGCCCCGTGCTGGGAAGCCCTTTGGGAACAGACTTAGAAGGAATGATTAGTAGTAAGCCCAGGGATGGCTGTATGCAGCTTTTGATAAATAAGCTAATTTATCCAAAGGTCTTCTGGAAGCTTTATGAGCAGGATGAGAAAATAATCACAATCACTAAACCTCAAGATCCAGAATCAGTACAGATTTGAGGTGGGAGAGACTCTGAGGTGTTTTCACCTGATGAGGACCTCGGGGGGCAGCCTGGCAACCCTGAGCCTGGGGATGGCAGGTATGGCCAGAGTCTGCATCTCCCAACAAGCCTCACCTCTCCTTAGCCCTTAGGGTCACCTCTGGGCCCTGCAGTTTGTATTCACGTGTCCATCTCCCTTACTGTTGGGTTGGCCAAGAAATTCGTTCAGGTTTTTTTCTGTAACATCTTACAGGAGAACCCGAATGAACGTTTTGGCCAACCCAATAACTTGAGGATGGAATGAGGGTCTTATGCATTCAGTGTCACTGGGTAGAGAGTCGTTCTCGGTACATAAATATGAATAGAAATGCCAAACACACACTCACCGTGGAGCAGAATCCCCCCTCCACCCCAGAGTTTGCACATTGTTACTGACGTCATTGTCACCCAATGTCACGTCAATGTTAGTTCCCCATTGCCGCCATAACAAAGTACCACACACTGGGTGGCTTAAAACCATGGAAATGTGTTACCTCACAGCTCTGGATGCTAGAAGTTTGCAGTCAAGGTGTGGGCAGGGCCATATTCCCCCAGAAGGCTCCAGGCGAGGGTCATTCTCGGCCCCTTCCGCTTGTGGCAGCTGCTGGCAATGCTTGGCGATCATCGACTTGTCGCAGCATAAATCCAGTCTCTGCTTCTGTTGTCACATGGATGTCTTCTTGTGTATCTGTGTCCAAAGTTCCTTCCTCTTCTAAGGACAACGGTCGCTGGACCAGCGCCCACCCTGATCCAGTGTGACCTCATCTCAACAAATTAGATCTGCAAGGACCCTGTTTCCAAATAAGGTCGTATTCACAGACACTGGGGGTTAGGACCCGAAATAGTGTCTTCTGGGAGAGACACTATTCAACTCAGGACATCAACCATATGCTGAAACGCCAGAAACCTAGCTCCCAGCTCACACCATTTGAACAGCTGTTCATTTGGTAAATTGCTTTCCTGAATGAGCTTTACTATGAGAAGGCTTCACCCGCCACAGGTTTTGTTACAGTGTTGCTGGCCACGGAGCAGTCAAAACCTGTGTGCAGGGGTAAGGGGAGGAGAGCAGGGCAGAGGTGCCAAGGGATGGGTAGCCCCCAGGCTACAGGGGGCTGTCTACCCCCGGTTTCAGTAGCTCCTGAGACTGCAGCTCTCAACTGCACGTGTCCTCAGATCAGAGTCACCGTGTTTCTACAGCCTACATCTTGTCTTTTGTAAGAGTGCTGCATGGGCAGTGGTCGTCCCATATTACAGATGGGAAGACTGAAGCTCGGTGCCCAGGGTCCAGAGTCATTGTTAGCCAACACTTGTCCAGGGAAGAGACACAAATGGCCAATAAATACCTGAAAGATGCTCGATATCATGAGTCACCAGAGAGATGCAAATCGAAATCACAGTGAGATACCACTTCACACCCACGAAGATGGCTAGGATCAAAAATCCAAATAATAACAAGCGTTGATGAAGATGTGGAGAAATCAGAACCCTCATACCGTGCCTCATACAGAGAATGTAAAATGGCGCAGCCCTTGGGAAAACAGCCTGGCAGTTCTTCAAACGATCAAACATAGAGTTACCATGTGACCCAGAATATCTATTCCTAGGTATATACCTGAAAGAAATGAAAACAAGTGTCTATGCAAAAACTTGTACACAGATGTTTAGGACAGCATTACATATAACAGCCAAAAGGTAGAAACAACCCAAATAGGTCCATCAACTGAGGAATGAATAAACAAAATGTTATATATATACATACATATATACACACACACACATACATGCAAATGGAATATTATTCCACTGTAAAATATTATTCCATTATTTGGCCATACACTGATATATTCCATTATTTGGCCAT